TTTCGTGAACAGCAAGTTGTATTCCAAGGCTGGCCAATTGTTACGAATCCACAAGGTGTACAGTGGACGCCGGAATCGGGAGGGAATCTGCGTGTCGTAAACGACACGCGCGGTGAAACGAAGGAGAAACAGACGCTTAGCGAATTCGTACAATTCTGCGTCCAGTCGATTGGCATAGTACACCTTGAGCAGATCAGTGGCGCTCATCATATGCATAGCGTCCTGCGCATGTGTCCCATTGCCGTGGACGAAGGAGCTCAAGTTCGTCAGGGGGAAATTGAACACGATTTTCAGCGCGCGTTGCAACATATACTGCGTGTAAACCATATGATCACTTAGACCGAATGTGTGAAAGAACCCGGCAAGATTGTACTTGGCACTGAGGCACAAAGTTCGCTGCGCAGTTGACAAATGTTGATACGGAGAGCGGGACGGTTTGAGCCACTGCGCCAAGTTGGAATAGCAGCCAAGTGAGGTTAGATTGGCCAACATTCGGGTCTGTCGATTGTTTGCCAAATTAAACGGACATCGTAAGAAAGTTTGCAGACTGACGTTGTACCATATTTGATGCGTCGGGAGATAGGCGGGGCTTGTGACGTTGCTCATAAACTCGGGAACAGTGTAACACGGACGGAACCAACCGGATCGCGCCGATTTGCCATTGCATCGAAGCGGTGAGGAATGCCACGTTGCACCTCTCCGCACATGCAGCCACTCACTCAGATATCGCTCGACGGGATTGCGTAACACAGTGAAATACAAGAACCTGTGATTGGAGAAAATGACAGTGAAAGATGATGATGAATCACTGGGGTGACGTACCGCTATAAGATGCACGTAGCAGAAAGAGAATAAACGCGGGAGCATTCCGTATACCTTAGGCGGAAAACCAATAGAACAGGAATACGCAAGACTAGATGTAACAACGGAAGTAATGATAATGGTGTGATGGACAGGTAAAGAGATACATAATTAATTAGACGGTCTATTTCTCCACATAGCGAGATACATGTGTTCGATGGACTGTCTTCTGAGCTAGGCAATTAGCGTGTAAACTTTACGACACCACCTGAGATGACATCCTCTGTGGTTTAGAGTACGAAGCGTAGTGTAACGATGCGCATCGTCACAGTTCATCTAACAAATGAACAACCTTAGCTAAACAGATTCATTTCAATCTCATGACGAGATACAGTCTAACTAGTCAGTCTGGTCAATTTGTACAAAGTAATCGCATAAGACAAACAATTGTTCGAGTCATCTAAGTTGATTTCCAAACATGCTACTAAAGTAGTCGAACAATTCACTACATTAGTAATATATTGAGGTTGATCGCATGATAGGTGATAATGTAACCAAACGTTCAAGTGAAGTAATATGGTCATCCATGGGGTCAATGCTTGTGGACCTGCGTCCATGCGCGGTAGTTCCTCGGAACGTTTCCTTCGCAGTTCCACGCCTCATCTACCCGTGTGTTGGTGTGGTTTGGAAACAATCAAGCAAGCCATTACCGCATAGACTCGTCTTTAGGACGGTTGTTAAATGTATACAGATTAGGCACTCCGCCCATCCTGTCTGTTCCACTATTCAACACTTTCGAGTCAGGCGCCGATGAGATGATGACAGAGTAGGTTGCATGGGTGTCTTGATTAGTTCGGAGACTACAGACATTTACATCAGGAAACCGACCCAATCATAACCAACAATGTAAAATGTACGGGAGGAAACGTAATAAGGAGGAACATAAATAAATAGCGTATAGTGCGAGAAGCAATGCAACAATTTGTTCAACATGGTTTCTTCATAGGGATTATAGGAAGCACATGCAGGTTTGAAGTACAGTTCAAACTTACTACGGCGACCAGCGAGAAATACCCCAACGTTTTCTACCATGCATACTGTCCTTATGTACGAACCTGTCCAAAGCGACTACCTTTTGTTCCACCATTGAGTGGTCGCTTTATACATGTTTGACAGTATTTATATACAATGCAGCTCTACTTCCTTCATGAATGCCTGAGAAGGAACCTGCTGCCAGCGAGTACAAACCACCGACCGGGGCTAAACCATCCAGCCGCCTGAAACTTAGCTCAACAATAAGGCAGACACACGGTCAAACTGATGATAACAGATGTCCACAACCGCCAACATAAATAGTAGAAAGCCATATCCGACCATAAAGTCAATTGCCTCGTTACATTTCACCCACAGCTACGAACAGCGCTGGAATCCGCAATTGAACGTCGAGTCAAAAGCACAAAGAACCGATGCAAGATTGCATTGAGCACAAAGTTAGACAAACGGACTATGAGGAATGACTGCACTCGCAGTGTAGGATGGATCAAAAAGGTTCCACGCCGCCACCTCACAGTAACTGAACATAATGTCTTGATTAAGGGGCTCAACTTCAACGCCAAACACTACTTGGCTAGTTCAGAACACACATTGAAATCAAATGGACTATCGGAGAAGTCCCAGCAACAGATAAGACAGACCGTTGTCCCAGTAGTAACTGGGAATAAAGTCACCCAGACCCTAGCAAAGGAGGAACAGGATGCACTCAGACGTCTACAGAAAGATGAGAACATTGTAACCTTACCGGCGGATAAAGGGCGCATGACAGTGATAATGGACAAACCGGCGTGCATTAACAAGGCCAAAGAACTGCCATCCGACACAACTACATATCGGCAAATCGATCAATAACCAAGAGCAAAACTGGTCAATCAGATCAACGCAACGCTGAAGAAACTACAAACAAAGAACGAGCTCACCGCCACGGAGAGATGGAGAATGAAAGCTGATGATACAAACATTGCACTGCTCTATGGACTACCAAAAGTACACAAGGATGGAGTCCCACTACGACCAATCGTCTCGCTCCGCGGAACCCCATGATATAAACTTGCGAAGGATTTGTGGAGGAGGTTGAAACATTTGGTTGTTGGATCCGAACATAGCATCAACAATGCTGAACAATTCCTCAACAAACTGCGGAGTGCCAGAATAGAAGAGGACGAAATAATGCTTTCATTTGATGTCACTGCACTCTTCACTTCAATCGGTCACGAATTGGACAAAGAAACCAGGATGGAACTACCTAAGAATCAACTAAGCCCAACGATAATCATACGACCTGAAAGTTTATGGGAACTCCTGAACCTCTGCATGACCACTTATTTCCGCTTTGATGGGCAAATGTACCAGCAACTGAGAGGAACAACGATGGGATCACCAATTTCTGGGCTCATTGCAGAAGCCGTAATGTAGAAATTGGAGCGCATGGCAATGCCATCTATCATCCCAAAACTGGATTCGATACATGGACGACACGTTTGTCATAGTAAAACGGAACAGAGCACAGGCCACGTAGGATTTGTTCGACGACACATTCGAGGATAACAAATTCATGATTATATTAGAGGAGGATAACAAACTACCATTTTTGGAGGTACTGGTAACTAGCAAAGGTGCGTATATCGGAAGAAAACGCGGATGGGACCAGATATTAAACTAGCACAGCAACCACGCGATGAATTACAAGAAGAGCTGTATTCAAACCCTGTTCAACAGAGCGGAAACGCACTACAGCACAGCCGAATCGCGGAAACAAGAAGCAAATCACCTATATCGGGTGTTTAGAAATAACGGTTATCCGAGAAATTTCATCAGAAGAAGCTTAAAGAAACGAACGCCTCAGCAACAGCAGTCAGCTGATCAAGCATATAAAAGGATGGTACTCCCCCACATCAAGAACGTCTCCGAAATAACATAGTGGGCGGTGGAGTGAATCCATGTCAACAGCGAAACGAGGTCACATGGAGGATAATCGGTAAGCCGGCGTTCATCAGACGAGGCAGGCGTCTGCTTTGGTCCTCCGGAGTGAGATCCCGACAGGAGTCACGCTAATTACATAATATTTATGTCGGTTGGCATGTGACGTAATCCTGGACCACAGAGTGGATGAGCGAATAGGTGGTAGGTGTCCAGAGTTAAATCGTGCTATCCATCACGCGAATAACATCATAATTATGTCTGGAGGGCATGTAACCATGGAACACAGAATGGGTAAACAAATAGTTGGTGGGAATCCAAATATTCATCTTGTGAATCGGCATGGTAATTTTCTGCCTGCAGGGAGTGTTCCGTTAGTTGTTATGGTGCTGCGGTCATCTGACAGCAATATCAGTAGTGTCTCGCTACACAATGATAAAAGTCCCCGCGATCAACTATGACACCCGATTCTGTATGTCAAAAATTAGACTACATTGCGATTCCGATGACGGGAATGGAAAGAATCGCGTCACTCTCTGTGAGCAATGAAACCCAGAGTGTGACCGACAAACAACTAATAAGCTGGTTGATGACGTATGATCCAAACGAAGTCAGTCGTTTGACTGAACCGTGAATCTGCCTCTAACTGCAAGTTGCATCAGTGAATAAGTTGAACACTACACAAACGAGAAATGTCAATCGACCAAGCAAACGCTACACATCACGGACCTGGTTGATTACCGGCGGATAAAGCTGAGCCTAACGACGCAGTATCCGAAAGTGTATAAAATGAACATAATTCAAGAATGTAAGCAGTGTTCCTGGAGTTAACGATGAACCGCGCTGTGAAAGATGGGCACACATGCGTTGTATCTCTCAGGAAAGAACAGTTGGGACAATTTTGTGCGAGGTGAAACAATGTAACACTGTCAGAAAACGGCTTCCCAACTAGCACTGCATAAGGGGAGAAGGATGGTGAATGTACAGCTCTAGGGACAAAGGAGAAGAACTCAAACAACTGGGACAGCAGCAACGATATGGTAACACTTACTTGCGCTTGACCACCTTCGAGTCAAAGATGTTCAGCTTGCGGTCTATGCACTGTAAATAGTCCGTCAGATCTGCATGCAGTCCACATATCCAACCGGTGGAATAACTGAGCGGATGAAGAATGAGAATAATTCCCAGTTAACTTACCGACTGACTAGCCATGTGAGCCCCTGCTTTGTTGGACACCGGCAGCGGAGAATACCGGGAAGACAGATGCACGGGCGGGTTTGCACACCACCCCATGTCAACCTTCGTCCCAATAAAGTACCACCTGTCTTTTGTATATGCACAAACACTAACACACGATGAGCATGTTGCCGGTCAACGTCGACAACAGTCACAGGTGAATGTGGAAGAGGTCGATAGAGGGAAGACCACCTTCGCAATACTCCGTAATGGTGAGGTGGAGATCGGACAGAGTAGAAAACACGGACGTAGGTATATAAAGTCAAAAGTATGATGACTGCCACAATCCAACATTGATCTCTCATTCTCCGAACGGGTTATCCGGATGTAAGCATTAGGTGGGCACAAAGTTAGCGGGCCACAATAGGCGACACATGGTTTGGTTAACAGAGAAATGCAATGGGCGGCGGCAGAGCTGAAGCGCAGTTTGAAATCAATGGCCAAATTGCAGTTACAATGAGCACATCTGCACAACCACGATACAAACAATGAAAAGCTCCTGAGATTGACAAGAAAACATAGAGCTACTCTAAGTTCGGTCCAGAGAACACACTGTGTACAATATGCTTCAATGACTCCAAGCTCTCAGATAACCCCACTTGTTAAGAGTGAACAAGGGAGAAGGCGATTTCAGAAAGGTTTAAGAACAGTTGGGTGATATTTCTGGCTGGCCGCCTCTCGCTTTTGACACAAAAGTTTCATCAAGTTGAATGAGCTGAAATATGATTGACGTCGCATGCATAAAACTGTGAAAATAGTTAAAACAAATGAGAAATGTGGCCGAAAGCACCCACTGCTAGAAGTCGACATGTCACCTCAAGTGTTAAACCAAGGAGCTAAGAGTCCAAAGTAGTCCATGCTACGACGCCACTACATGTAATGCCTTACCAAGAGAGAAATTTTTAAAACCTTCCTGAGAACGTGAGTTCTAGATCGCTTCTAAGCATACTTTGGGACATCAAACGCCTGCAAGCACCTCGCATTCGGAAAATAGTGTTAATTCGTGCGAGCAGCCTGTTTTTAAACAAACTGGAATATTTATCGAGTTTTCAGAAAGAAATTGTTCCAAAGAAATAACTTGGGCCAAACCAAGGAACGATTCGTATGTCATCCTCATGAGTAAAAACGAGAAGAGAGTAAACATTACAGACTTCAAAAGCTAAAATCAAAGTGACAATAGTAAACATCACGTAATGGATTTTGTTTGAGACCCTTGATAGAGGAGGGGATAAACAGGGAAGACAAGAACAAAGAAACAAACCAAACGTCACTTAGGTCAGTTCCTAGACACATCAACAAGTGTATCCGCAACCAGAGAACCGAGAGGCTAAGGCATAGGACAAATTCGAAATAAGGGCCTTCGTTTCTTATGACCAAATAAGGGTGATTCGACGATTGAAGCGATTCAAGGATGAAGGCTCTTCTAACTGACCTAAGTATGGCGGCCAGCGAGTTTTATTTTCCTTCAAAATTTAGCATGAAGAAAGCGTACCTTCTTCCTGGGTTGAATCAGATAGGGCCCCGAATTTTAAGAAGGGTGCTCGTTCTTCATAGGTGGCAGCAATCTCATTTCGGTTGCATCCGAGCCACTGGCATCCATTCTACTCCGCAGCTTATCCCCGATAAGTGGATCACCAAGCCGAGAAAAACTATCTGGCTTCCGTCCTATCCGTTGATGTGTGGATAGTGACGTTCTGCCAAATCCTCGAACACCGCCACTCATACCAGATGTCTGCAGTCGTTGCCTTACTATACATCCGTGCTGCATTCGTCTCGGTTGATACACCAGCGCTATGAGGTTGCTTGCTTAAGTGTGGGGTTCCATCCGGGTAAGCTTCCATCGTACGCACAGTCTGCCTCCAAGTCTCTAGCTTGGTAAGTGTATAGGGCAAAAAATTTTACCTACATTTCTGTTAGTCGTGGTATCCGACAGGTAGACCATATGTCCTCATTCCCCTTAAACTTTGCGATTGTAGACATCCTATCGAGAGCTCTGGAAGAGTGCTAAAACTTTGGCCCGATACTACTACTGGTTACGCGATCGACCAATAGATATGATGCCGAAGACTTCCCCTTACTCAATGACAAATCCAAAAGTACGCATACCGTCTTGAACTGCCTTTCGGTTAGGGAATGTAGTACGAAATGCGCCACGCTCTCTCGAAGCGAAATTTACAACTCTAGCACTGGCATTTGCACGTTCCTGTGCCAGCACTTGAAGGTACACCGCTTGGACAGGTGAATAGCTTTGTCTACCTGGGCAGCTGCGTGTCTGCCAGATGCGTCACCATAAAGCGGTCTGCGGTTGTCAGCCTTGTCTGCACTTGTCGTGTAGTTAGAATGTCACCGACTTGGTAAAGGGTCGAGTGTATAATGTCTCCGTCCATTTCGCGTGGACTATATGCGCCCGCTATCGACCTTCGATAACGGGTGTTTAAGGTGGATTGATAATGTTTCACGGCAACAACGTGCCTGCAACGGTGAAGCCAGCTGTCGTGTCTTAGGAAATGCTAACATTCACCTCAAAAATCTGGACTTGCTGCGCCACTTCAAATGACGCAATCATGTCCAGAGCACCTCATCTGAGAGTATGCTCTATTTTGTCTGCAGCCCTGTCGCACCAAACGATGCGCAGAATCGGTCGCAATCACTGTTGAGGGAACTGATCGAGATATCGCATATCCCGAAGGCAAGTTCACGTTTCGCTGCCGTATAGAAGAACGGACAGCAGCGTGGAGTTAAGGCATAGCCTTGCTTCATACAAGTGACAACTGCGAACTTATGCGAGATCTCTCCACTCTTGTACGGCAGTGAGACTTGGCCTATTCGCTCGGAAGATATGAAGCGGCTATCAGTCTTTGATAATCGCTGTCTACGTAGGATTGCTAAGGTGTGGTGGCAACACCACGTAAGCAACGCAGAGGTCCGAGACCGCGTGCTTGGGGCGAATAGTGCCAGTCTTCAAGACGTTATTCTCCGACATCGCATGCGCTGGCTCGGGCATGTTCTGCGCATGCCAGCCCATCGCCTTCCACGTCGAGCGCTATTTGCACTCCCAGGGAGCGATTGGAAAAAGTGCCGCGGTGGACAGCCGATGACGTGGAGAAGGAGTATGAAGAAGGCGACCTCAAGTTTGGCAGCAGACGGACCAGTCCGCCTTCCAGGTTGGGGACCACGAGATGCTGAATTGCAGTGGTTGGAAACATTGGACGTCATGGCTCGCAACAGACATCAGTGGCGGTAATGTTGTTCCGCAATTTCACCATCCCTTTGATACACACAAAAACTCACAAAACAAAACAAAAAATACAAAATGGCGTGTGTAAAACCAAAAAAAATTCGTTTCCCATATTTTTTAATCGCATTAGTGTCCCCATCTTCTTCACCTTTTTCTTCTGCCGTGGTTCTGATGGCACAATGTCTGTTAACAGACTGTGAATAAATATATATACTCCACTTAGCTGCACTCTCGCCCGCATACCACTGTGCAAACATTCAAATAAACTTACAAAATTACAAAATTACGCGAGCAACCAAACTTACCCAACAACGGCTGATAACGTTCTCTACACTTCTCCTGCAACTAACGAGAGGCAAACACAATTTCTATAGTGTTGAGACCCGAAAGGTATCCTCCTTGCTCTTTCGCCACGTTCATTTCCACAACATGACTGATGAGACGGTTGGGCAGGATTCGGGCAATCACCTCGCCCACACAACTCAACAAGTTGATGCCAATATAATTCGTGCAACAATGCTTGTTCCTTTGCCCTTGCACAGTGGTATCAAAAAGGCATCCTTCGGCTCAGGAGGCACCACCTCCTCAATCAACACGCGTTGCACCAAGTGGAACAGCGTACTCACCAACGCGGGTCCGCCGTGTTACGATACTTCAGGGGTGATGCCGAAGGCCCCGGTACGCTTGTCGGTTCGTAGCTGAGCAAGTGCTCTCTGAGTCTCATGCAGTGTCGGCTTGTCCGCCAGATTCACCTTCATCTCGTGGTGCATCTGCCAATTCAAAGTAAGTCAGCCGATCTCTGAACGGTTGTTCAAGAGACAGTCAAAGTGTTTTGGCCAGATCTGTATTATGTCTGCAGTCTGTGCGCAGGTAGCGCCTGAGCTACCATAGATCAGTGTCCTCAGCGGCTCCAACCTCAGTACATACACGGCCTTCAAGGAGTCAAAGAATTCCCTGTGTTGTCGGCGATCCGCGAAGCATTCCATCGGCTTCGCCTTCTCCGTCCACCACACATATTCATGCGACGGAGCTCTCGGGTCAGTCGCCGTCGAAGTTTGCGAAACTGACTACTCTTTCCCAAGTCACTGGCGTCTGCAACATGTGCATCAAATGCTGCATTCTTTTCCGACACCAATGCGCAAATGGTCGCATTGTTCTCATCAAAACAGTCAGGACGCTTCCAGCTTGCGCTCCAGATGGTCTCCACGGCAGCAGCTATCAACTGGACGCAAATGTGTTGCCAAAGGTCGCCCACTGTGGCTATGCAGTCCACGGCACACAGGTGTGCAGCCATCGTCTTCTCCAGCTCAGTACGTTTCGCCACAGTGCCGACGGAGAGAATGTTAACTTTACGCCAATTCACGACGCCAGTATAATACATAAATTTACACTTTGGTAAGCACCAATTTGTGACCAGTACCGCACTCAGCTCAGCGCAGTACACGTGTCATGCGCACTTCACGCATATCACGCTGGCGTACGATGACATAGTCGAGCAGGTGAGCGTGACCACTCTGTGGGTGCGTCCAAGTTGCTATATCACTAGCACTCAGTACAAACCGAGTGTTCGTGATCGTCAGATTGTAAGTGGCACACAGTGAGAGCAGCTTGTCACGAGGCGCATTCGATGAACCAATGTTATTTGGACCGATAACATCTGTCCACACCGATGCATTACCCCCAAAACCCGTGTTGGAATCACCCAGCAGAAACAGTCGGTCGCTCCTCGGCACAGACCATAACACGGATAACTGAGTGTAGAATGGATTACGTGCGGCATAAGGATAATACATTGTCAGACCGTACGTGCTTATAAAAGTAACAAACTCACCTCTCCCGAGTCGTAGGCGAAGGCGTCATTCGCGCTCTGATGCCTGTTGGTTCACCCACCATGTGGCCATTGAGGCGATCGGATATTGCAAATCCGACCCCATGATCACGAGGTGCTGAGGCGGCATTGTCCGTTCAGTAGAACGTGTAGTCCGCACCTGCTCCATGCAACTTAGCTTGTGCAGTGAGCCGAGTTTTACTAAACGCCGCAATATCGATGTTGTAGCCCGCCACTTCCGTCGCGACAAGTGCAGTGTGTCGCTCGGGGCGCTCACTCGAGTTTCGGTCCAGTAGTGCGCGCACATTTCAGCACCAGATGCTGAGTGCTTTGCGCAGAGGCATACGATTACATTGGTGAGCAATCGCACATGAGCAGGCGGTTCTGCTTCTGAGGTTTGCTTGAGGGACTCCGTCCGGAGCCTTTGGCTCAATAG